AGTTGAAAACTTTTGTGATCGTTACCTGTTCATTAGTAGTATTGCCTTTGTTCCTCCTCGCTTTCTCCACAGAGCTGCAGAATGACCGCTGACAAAATGTGTAAAGCACTTAGTAACAAAACATGCTAAACCAAATGAACGTTAAGAAACAATAAGTGAAAAAATGTTTACCTCCAAGAATAGAGGAGGAAGGTTAGACACTTTAACACTTCTTTCCATGACTGGTTGTTTAAATTTAACAGGTGTTTTGATGTTGCACAATCTTTTACTTCTTGGACTACTCTTACCGCATCCAGAAATATAGGGAGGCATATCCAAGCGCCATTTCAATAGTTGCGCCTCAGTCAACTCCCTCAAACAAGTAATCAACTCACCGTAGCCATTTCCGGCCGCCATCGTCAATGAATTTTTAAAGAAATCACCCTTGAAACGAACAACTCGTAAAGTCAGAGTCAAATGCACTCGCAGCCGGGCCGTCAGCCAGTGTGTGCTGCTGCTGCGCTCACATGGGAAGGCATTCCGGTGATACAGTCGGATTTCAAAGGCACCTAAAAAAGTAGTTGTTTGCACCCCTAGATAAGGTTTGGCACTGGTTTATAATTTTCAATTAAATTCGGGTAAAACGACCTTCAAAAACTCCGCGGGCAGCTAAAACCAGTGAAAAACCTAATCTAGGGGTGCAAACAACTACTCTTTGAAGCGCCTTTGAAATCTGAGTGTATCACCGGAAAACCTCCCCTTGTCAGCTGCTTTTGCTTCTACCACGATGTACGAGTACTACCGCTACTACAATTGTTGGTTGTTGTTTTTGTTGCCGTTGTTAGTGGTTGGTGCTGCTTGTTCTCGATGCCAGTAGCCTAAGAAAACAGCCAATAGGGGACGCTGACAGTGCAGCAGCTAAGAAAACAGCCAATAGGGGACGCTGACAGTGCAGCAGCAGACGCGTTGATTATTGGCAGATATGAACAAGTAAATAAACAACAAATATGTATGCCATAATGTACAAAATGCTTCCCTGTTTCCAAAAATGCCCTGGTCGACGTATTTTGGATGTCATTTAGCTCTGTAATAGCAAATGGGGCCTGAGCGTCGGCGCTGCTTGCAGCTCCGGCCGCTAGGGTGCAGCACGGTCTGAGTCCACCATGAAAAATAAACCGGTCAGGTGCGCCTATCTGACGGCCCAAATACGTTTGAAACCGACAATAACTTAAACATGTTCCGTTTTCAAGTGATAATACGACTTGATGTTATTGCTAAATCTAACCCAAACCCCTATTTTGAGAGCACGATTTCTCATAGTGGACTCGGAGCGTGCTGCGCCCTAGCGGCCGAAGCTGAAAGCAGCGCTCCCGCTCAGGCCTCATTGTAGTCCTACACATCTGACCGGTCGGCGACGCACGCACGCACGCGAAGACGCGCGAATCTGACCGCATATTTGGCGTTTTTCGCGAAAGTTCACATGGACACGGTGTAAACAAGCAGCTTGGTGATTGATGCTTCTCCATGCTGGTTTCACTATCCATATGGATGTATGTTACATATGGAAAATTTTTCACAGCAGGAATACCCATAGCACAAAATTCCACTCTGGACCGTGTTCCAAATTACATTAGAAATATAATCCATATGGAAATTCAGCAAAATCCAGACATGCATTTTCTACACCAGAAATCCACATGGAATTTAGAGCTGGGTACAGTTGTAACGATGTTTATGGGTACATAGGATTCCATCAAAATCACAACCAGAGAAGTGGAGAGCTCTAACGATCGTATAGCTAGCGCAGGGGTGACCATACTATGGTTACAAAATTAAGTAATATACAGTTATTGTAACCATGTAGTATAGTCTTCATTGGCATTTTAGTGTTCTATCAACCATCACTTTAGGGATATTGCTGAAGAAACCATAATGGTTGCAACGAACAGCTTTCTATTTTGAGGGTGCACACAACAGTGTATGGTCTGCCTTCGTAACACAAAACTGTCGCACATAGTGTTATTTATTTTCAATCGGCCTATTACTGGGACGATAACGAGAATCCAAAAGTGATGGATTTTCCAGCGGCAGACGATTGTCGCTGGTCAATGAAATTTAAACCATCTAACCTTCTGATTGTATTTATACCGATTCATGGTCAAACCCACAACAGTGGTTTTTCGCTTCCATTCTGATAGCTAGCCGATGAAGATTTTCGTTCCAAAAAAAAATTCTAGTATAGCAAGAGAATCATTTTTCTCATTTCGTTTATCGCACCGATAGTCCGTATCTTTTTTTCTACTGTTGTCCGACAATTGTACGACAGTTCTGTGCTACTAGGGTGCGCCACATTGGTAAACTATGACATAAACGAGATTGTCTGGAAGAAACCTTCGTAGTTACTTACGTTCAGCATGTCACCGAACCAAAACAATGTTGTAAAGTTGCCATAGTAGTAGAATTTGTCAATGTTCTGCCTGTCTCTGAAATTCTTAAAGTACCACGTTGCTAGTTCTCCCTTTTTCGCGAACAAAGCACTCGGGCAGTGCTCTACGTGGTCCGGAACGATTCGGAAAGGCCCCTGCCAAAGAAAACTTTAGTTAGCAGTAGCACATGATGCTCCTTTAAGCCAGCTGGCGACTGCCAAACTGAAAAGATATGGACAATATATGGTACGTTCATGATTCCATTAGATAAGATGTACAACTATATGTTGTGTACTATATATGTGCTATATGTACACCAGACCACGTCTCGCGTAACAGGCTTCACGATATCCCACACTAGTCGCTGCGACGCGCCTGACGCTAGAGTTCATATAACCAGACCTGCACTGTAAGAAATATTTCTCGAAAAACAACTCTATGACTAACGACGGTACTGTGGACAAATAACAATAAAAGTTGTATCAACTATAGTGCGAAACACGGACGGGCAGACAGAACCACGACAGACATCATCGCCTGGCCCCTCTGTGACTTGGTCTGACGTGAGCTTTGGCTCAGCGATAACTCAGGGAGCGGACTGAACACCAATAGTCACAACAACCAAATATTTTATTCGTGACCTAACATTTTTCTTAGTGTATCTCTAGCATATCTCAACATACAGCATAAGTCGAGGCTTTGTCGGCGTCTCACCAGCTGTTTTAAAATGGAATGTTTTTAACAGTTCAGCTACGTTTGTCTTCGAGGGGCGGACTGCTTGGATATTAGGAGTACAAACTAAAAATATAAGAGAGTAGCAAGTGCTCTGTTGTGGAGTTATAGAATACACTGGTAAAATCGCACATAGCTGCGCATGCACGAATTCATTCACAGGAGTGCAGTTGTTTAGTACCTTACAAGGGAACCTTTTCAGGTGTAAATCTCCGATTTCGTTGGTACTCGGAAAATTTAAAGGTTACTATAATAGAAGTCGGATGGCACTTGAAACTTTTCCTAAACTTAACATTTATTAGGGGTTTACTTAAGCCTGACACTGTTTTTTGCTCCAAATATCCCTCTACCGCTTTAACTGTTCAAAATAGAGCAAAACGGACAAAATTTTGACCCCTAGGACACTGCTTTAGATTTTTCAAAATATATTTTTTCTCGTACCTTTTATAGGGGAAAACTAAATGTCAAGTTTAGGAAGAATTTCAAGTGCCATCCGATTTCTACATAAATAACCTTCAAATTTTCAAAGTTTTAACGAAATCGGAGATTACACCTGAAAAGGTTCCCTTGTTAGCTTCATTAACAAGTAAAATAGGGTACGATCTGTACTTAAGTGCGGATTAAAACGTGCGTTTAAAACTACGCCGAGTTAGCCCTCAGTAAAAATTCTTCACACTTTTGCAATATTAACAAATCCCCAAACATTTACTGTGTGGGAATGCATATTTGGTTGGCCTGATCATTTCAAGAGTGTGTGCAAATGACAAAAATGCCATAACATTCCGAGAGGGGGAAAGGTGAGAGTCAGGGAGTGTAAAATATCTCTACAGGGTAGGTGTGGGAGGCCCTGTGTAATACACCACTTACTGCAACAGCGTGAATCCGCTGCGTCAGACCAACGGGCAACAGGAAGAGCGCCACACCGGCGGACAGCACGAGCATGATGAGGCGATAGGGAATGAATTGAAAGTGTCAGAGATCAGGGCCCGTTTCACGCGACTGACCTACCTGGTCGTGCCTGCACAGGAGGGGGGATGAAAGTTGCAACATACATATACGGAAAGTCGATTGGCTTTGGCATGGTAAAAGCATAATGTCGTCCCCAAGGGACTGTCTCTGCCAGAAAGGAAGAGTCCCCCCCCCCCCCCGCCCCCTTTGCTATATACAGTGTGTAGCGGGCACACGGCGTGTGTCATTATGAATGCACGAAAATTAAAGGAAGCTGTGGTACACTGTAAATTGTTTTCGAACAATAGGTTAGTAATGCAAACCTAAACCTTAGTAGCTTACGAAGGATTTTGAAAAGTTGTATTACGAACTAATCGTTCGTAAGCTTACGAAAAAATAGTTTGTAATGCAAACTGATTGTTCGTAAAAACTTGTCTAGCCTTACGAAAGAATCGCTTTGCAATACAGACAATATCTTTGTAATGCACACAACGGAAATGGTCTGTACCGTTGCAAAGCATTTCGTTCGTAAGCTTTTTACAGTGTAGTAATTAGTTTGCTGGCAGCGTGACAGCAAATGCCTGACCTGTAGGAGCCAATGCGTCAGGGGATGCCGTCTGGCCCCGGGGCCGTATTCTTGGCTTTCCTGAGGACGTCTTCAACTTCCTCTGGTGTAATGGGCGCTCTTAGCTCTGATTGTATCCCTGCAGTTGGGATGCTTTCTGCAGCGACTGGTGGCGGACCATCGCAACCAGCTCGCTCGGCGTAGGAGTCTCTAAAATGAGCCTCGATTTCAGCAGGGAGCGATGTCACAGATTGCCTTACCCTCTTCCCGGATTTGGCCCATAGCAGCTTTAGGGTTTTTGTTGTATAGCCTCTGGATTTTAGCTGCTTCTACCCGATTGGCTTTGTAGACGGATGGATTTTGCCAGACGGGTTTCTTTGGCTTGGGCCTTGGTTTAAAAGGCTGGGCCGGGGGAGGTTTAAGGGAGTCTGTGAGCGAATTGAGGATTTCTAGAATTTTTCCTCCCAAGAGGATTGCCATTTAGTGAGGCTAGGCTCAGGCCTTGAGTCTGGCACCGGGTCAGTTGGCTGTTCGAGCTCAGTCTCAGGAGAGAGAGAGAGAGAGAGATGTTAAAATTGGGCCTGAACTCCGGCGCGTCAACTCTTAAAGGGGAGGTAGCTAAGTTGAAGTTAGTTGGTGAGCGCCTGTAATCCATTGGGGCAGGGATTACGGGTGGAGACCGCAGTCTTTGAAAAGCAGCTCGGGCCGACAGAGCGGCTGAGCGGGTGCTCACTATTCTAGGGGTAGGGGGGGGGGCGGTTGAATTAGAACTCTGAGGTGAGTTGTGAGGGCTTGGGGAGCTCGGCTGGGCAGAGTTGGCTACCCTGACGATCATTAGTTGGAGCTCGTCGTGAGTTTGGCGATCAAGCCCTCTGCGTAGACATCGACGCCGGGATGTACATCTTTAAAATGGCGCTTGGCGGCCTTAAGGGCGTAGCCAAGGGCGTTCTTCTCCCCGTCATTCCATTCTGTATCACAGCAGACGTAGTGAGAGATGCAGCCCCCATGCTCCTTCTCGTAGTGTCGCCTGATGTTCTGTAGGCGGCCGGAGAGGGACTTCCCTGCATAGAGGGTTGACGTGATGCCGGAGGCTTCACATTCAAGGCAGGAGTAAGCTTTGCCAAATGGCAGGGCGATGAACACTGGGAGGGGGGCGGCCGAAGCCATTTTAGCCCCAGGGGTTGCAGGCTCCTCTGGTCTTTACCCTTGGGGGCTTGTGCAATTCCAGGCACTTCAGGAACCTGCGTGAGGTGCGGCGGCGGCCCTTCTGGACTGCACCCGAAGGAGTTACCGATCGGGCGCCGCTGCTTTGCACAACCTCGGGATGGGAGGGGACCCCCTGGTACTCTACGCGAGGAAGAGAGCTTAGTGGGACGACTCGCGGAAGGTGGAAACAATATTTGGGAGAGGCCGCCACGGCGCCGCGGGCCGGGAAGCACTCACCCATCGCGTAACTCGGCCTGTCCCGTGCGTCAGCACATAGGGACATTTGGAAGTCTTGCAGAAGGACCTAAACTGGTCCTTTTGGCCAAGATCAAGGGATGGTGGGGTGACTTTCGAGACGGTCTGGATGTTCTTGGAGAGCGGTGACCCTGGGTGGCGTCCTTGTAGATCCTCGTGGTGGTGGTGGATCTCCGGCAGGGCAGTGCCCCCAATCTGGGGGCGAACCTCAGCTTAACGAGCCCTTTCTGGACCCTGCCGGGGGGCTGCGGGGCACGGTATTGTCTTGCGCCCCGTCTTACTGCTCAACGCATGATGCGGGAGACGGCCGTTCCAAGGGTCCGCCCACCGGCCAACCTGTTGCTCAGTCGAGGTGAGCGGAGGACTGCGTCCCTCCAGTCGTTACAGGTTGGCGTTGCCAGCGCCTCGCACTTCCACGGGTTGTACTTGGGCTCAGCACCGGTGTTATGCACAGTGGGCTGACCTTTCCCGACCGTGGAGCCGAAGCGCCAGATGGAAGAGGAGGGTCACCACTTGCCGACTACGCAGTTGTAGAAGAGCAGCAGCGAACTTCTAAGTCACACATCTTAGCCGAAAGGCCGAGAAGCGGTCGCCAATGACAAACGCATGACAATCTGATGACAGTCTGATGATAAAACTGATGACAAACGGATGACAAAACGAGAATCGGCGTTTGTCTTCAGTATGTCATCATTTTGTCTTTGGGTAATCATCCGTTTATCATCAGATTGTCATCCAATGACAAATGGATGGCAAACGGATGACACACAGATGGGAAACTATGGTCAAAGGACGGCTCCAGCCAGCTCTAGCCTCACGGTACGCATTTAAACTTTCCCGCCTTATATTTTTTTGCTAGACCACATTTCCGTCTCATGCCTAAAGTAAGCGTCGTAGAGCAAAACGGCTTACTGTGATGTATGAGGATAACATACTTTATTCATATCCGACAAAAAAGATAATTCGAAAATCATCTTTTGAGCAGCTATAGCTAAAGAATTTTTAACACCCCCATCGTGAAGTTTTTCGCGGGAGATACGTTACATCCTCCGATCGCCTTATGGTCACTCCATTTACACGACCCTATAAAATACAAAAAAACATGGTTTGTTTTGTACGTTGTTTAGTCACTAAAATCTAATGTTCTGAGGAGATATGTTCTTCATTCATGGAGCTTTTTCAGTTTTCTAGATTTGGATGTGTTTTTATAAAATCCAAAGAACGTAGGTGTTTTGTACGTTGTTTTGTCACCAATATCCTACTTCTTTAGGGAGAGATGTTCTTCAATCACGGAGCTTTTGTAGTTTTCTAGTTTTGGATGTGTTTCTATAAAAACCATAGAACATGGATGTTAGATGTTAGAATTTTCGTTAGACTTGGTACGTTAAAATTAAAGGTGCCCCATGTCCAGGCTGCGGAAAGTCTGTCTCTGGTTGGACAAAAGTTTTCAATCAAAATTAAGCGTTCTTTGTAGATTTATGCTACCCAATCAAAAGGACTTTTCAAAATGACATCATTTGATGTCCAGGAACTGTTTTCATTTTTTTTTTAGTTTTTTGTGACTTGTTTTGTACACATGCTCATGTACATATGGCTTAGATTCAAGGTGAAAATCATGACTACTTCACTGTCAAGATATTCGTAGATTAATGTTCCTTGTGTCTTAATGTGTAATGCACCATTTTCTTACGTTGGCATACCAGTGTGTTGTGTTCCTCATTATTATTTTTTTAAGATTTTTCCTAGATTTAAGTTGATGAAAGGTTTGCTAGACAGGTTTCCATCTGTTTAAGTGCTTGCCACTAAAGTAACAGTTCCTGTGTAAACTGCAGTTAGTTCCTTGTGTCTTAAATGCTGTTTCCTTTTGAGAATGTAGACTAGGCCGTTTCATTTTGGAGGGTCAAGTGTTCGATCATGTCGGAACGCATTTAAAATAAATATATAGTCAATCCTAAGGGAGGTAGTCGTTGTCCGGGGCTTTTGCAACCCCCGGAACCACGCGCCTCGCGGTCAGAGCTTAACATTGCTTTTGGCGGATACCACGAGTGTCATGTTCCAAGCCGCGCTGCGGCGAAACGGTGCCACCTATGACCGCGCCCGTTCCAGTAGAGACTACCTAGGGTATGTACTACACATCGGACGTGGTTGCGACTGCGCGCTTCACCCCGTTAAGAACGTAGGGCGTAAGTACCCGGAATCTTGGTACTTCGCTCTAGCACGAGTACCGTTCATTTTTTTCGGTCGGGGTTTTCACCGGAATGTAGCTTGGAACCCTTAGCTTTCGAATCACACTTCGACCGTCCATACCATTTTATTGTATCACCCCCACAATGCGAGGGGAACGATCCGAGCGGCGCCCGGCAGGGACTCGCCGGTTCGAATCGTGCGCGCGAAACTATGGCACTGGCCTGGCGGGAAGCGGTATAGTCCGCTCACCACCGCTGCTGCACCAGGCGAGCGCTCGCTGGGCCCATGGCGGAGCTGACAGACTGATCTTGGACTCCTCGGACCACTCCAGCCTGAACCCCCTCACAGCCTCGGTGCTCACGAGTCGCTGTATAGGGCCACAACAACGTCCATACTCCGGGCTCCACGCAACCACGCCAACAATAATCCGCGCGCCACTGCGAGGAGGGTAGGCAACCGATTCGCTGCCTGATCCAGGGACCTCGGGTGCGTGCGGCGTACGATCTCCTGGAGGTCGGCCGCCCGGCACCTCAGAAGTGCGACCTCCACGGGTGCGGGAACGGTGATGAACACCATCGTTTTCCCGCCAAAACGGCCCCCGAGCTGGTGGTGGTCCGCACTCCCATCCCCGTCCTTCCAATCATTGCGCAACCAGTCCTTGTGCTAGCTTGTCCAAACTTGTCCTAGCTCCTGCTTCCGAAGCCTCATGCGTTGCCTTCCAGAACCTAAAAATTACGTTGCCAGAGAGAAACCGTTCTTGACTGTGCTCCTGGTTTTCACGCACAGGGTCGGGCTCGTCCAGAAAGT